CGTACAACGGCCAAGACGTTGTAATAAATATAGCGACAAAGATGAGGACAATTGTCCGAATAATTATTAAGTGTTACAAGAGACAGGAAGATGTGGAAAGCCGTGATCGTTTATGCCCTGATGAGACATCGCACATAAAGACATAATACGCAATTATAGGCTTTTTAAAGGGTTTTCAAAAAACTTGTTTATAGTTGTGATTCATATTGTGTCAGTAGAATACATTAGAAAACGTTCCGCCGTCTTGGACTACCGTTTTTCGCTGACATGAAGTGGAAAGAATATACTGAAACACTTGCTGGTAGGGGTGTTTTTTTCAATGTGTCGGGCTAGACAATGTTTCTCGTCTGAATTTAGCTGACACACTTACAAATCGACCATTCATCCAGGTATTGAACATGTCACATGTCGTCTGGTGCTTGTGCTATGTATATAGAAAGAAGAATCTGCAATGTTATCATTCCTAACCTGGCATCTCAGCTTCAGTCAATTTCTCACAACCTTAACATAGCTTCACTGTGATTTTTCTATAAATATTTTGTTATGGAGTGATTTCACAGTGGAGGTTTGTATTTGTACTAAGTCGGTCCTAAAATAGGTTCGACGTACAAAACGTTAGGAAATTGGTATAATAGGTAATGACGCAGCAATCTAGTTGTGGTCGTGTGGTCGCTGATACTTTAATATCCGACTAACGGTCATCCGGCATCGACTGACTGACCAACTCACTGAGCGACGGTATTTAGTCACCCCCGCCACGAGGGCATCATGTGGCACAAGGCCGGTTTAACGTGGGATCTCCGACCCCGTGGGCTCGGTCAAAAATATGCCCATTGAACCCGTATAAACGGGTTCAGGGTCGGTTTACCCCCCGAAAGAGACTCCGTCCTTCGGCGTAGCGTCGTTCGTGTTCCTCCCCGCCCGATGGCAGAGAGTTCAACCGATCAGCCAGTCGTCCGACTTCAGACTGAACTCAGACTGACTCACTGAGCGACCCCTCGTTACTATTACTACTGCTACTTATTATAGGTGGGAGATTCTATTAACTATAGAATAGGTGTGTTCCACTATAACATATTTTCATGGTAATTGTTCTTTGGTACATTGAATTAACGAATTTAAGCCCACTACTTGATTGGTAGCAATGTCTCATCATTTTACATTTGAAATTACTAGATGTGGCCGCAAGTTCTATACTAACAGTTTCTTCTCTCTTCTGGTTTCTTGCTTTCCATTTTCGATTTTAAAATTTGATCAACCGAAATTTAAATTCAAGGTCAATAGTTATTATTTGTTGTCTTAATTCCTGTTTATTAATTGTTCTCTGTCCTTAATGGTTTTTTTTTCTCATATTCTTTTACATTCAACTTAATAACCCTGCTTGGGGGTAATGATTAAAAAGACATGTGTAATATGATATAACACTAACTGTAAAGAAATATAACACAAAATTATAGTTTCTGCATTGATTTTCTAAAGTCACAATTCCACATAACACATGAACAGTTTTGAAATTAGATATATAGTGTGCATATAATTTTAATATTAAAATTTCTAGAACAAATGCCATGCAAGATTTTATTAAAAGTTTCAAAATCTTTTAAAACACATTTTAAATTGCAATATCATGCATATTTACTTAAATAAATATTCGTAAAATTATTTTCTTTTAATTATTTGGACTCACGCTATATAACGGAAATTAAATTGTAAATCTGAGACGTGATATTTTGGGGATAATTTTGTTAAAAATTCTGCTAATAAAACAATCAGAGATATGAATAAAAATATATACCTTGTTCAATTCGACTTAATTACAACCTATCTAATTTATACATGGAAAATACAATTATTATAAAAACATATTTGCCTATTTTGACAATTATGATTTCATATATGAATGGAATCTGAACAAATGAATTAATTAAATACAATAAACGTGACATTCGTTTCAGTTCTTATAATATCAATAACAACATAATGACAATATAAAACATTGTAGACAATGCCAGGTGTTATTAGGCCAGTTAATATTTTCGCAATAACATTGATATTAACCACATGATGTTGGTAAATGCGTTCTAAATATATTTGTATGAGTAATATACTATATGAGCTTCTGTATATATATATATATATATATATATATATATATATATATATATCATGAATTAACTGATTTAAAATATGGTTTCTTCGCTACACAGAAATTGCCATGTTTCAAAATCCGAAGCTAAAAACTTCAAATTTAATTATATAATTAATTATATAATTAAATTAAAAGTATTAGTTCTGTTTCATCTTTAAGCGAATTTTGAAACAGGACTAATGACTTTTTAAAAAATTTTTAAATCAGTTAATTTATGATATTTATGCTCTGTAAATTTACATTGAACACTGTTTTGTACAAATAAAAATATCAATAAGAACACCAGATTATATATCTTATTGTTTTAAAAAGCTATTTTTAAAACTTTAATCACAACCTAAATATATGAAA